GAGAAGCAGGCCTCCTGCCAAGCAGGGAGCCTGATGCGGGGCTCGATCCCAGGACCCTGGGATCACGACCTGAGCCGAAGGCAGACGCTTAACAACTGAGCCACCCAGGTGCCCCCTAAGGAAGGCTTTAAGGAACATTTACACAGTTTTAAAATTTTTGTTCAATTAAAATTAAAACGTATCCCCTTCTCATAGCTCAGAATTTTAGGTGGCGATGTTAGCCTTGAGGGAAGCTGGGCATCGGGCACACAGGACCTCCCGGCTATTTCTGAGCTTCCTGTGGGTCTGTCATTATTTCAGAGGGACAACAGGCTTAGTTGAGGGGAGCCCAGCGGGCTCAGTCCGTGGAGCGAGCAATTCTTGATCTTGGGGTTGTGAATTCAGGTCCCACGTTGGGTGTAGTGATTACTTTGGGGGGGAAAAAAAGAAAGGCTTAGTTGGGATACGGAGCATAAACGCTTTGGTCTCCACAACAGGATGCTCGTTTCTGTTGTTAGCTTCTCAAATGAGAAATCAAACTGTGTTTGGAATTGGCTCCGAACGTGTATTCTACCATATTGAATAAATAAAGATCTAAATATCTACCTAGACGAATATTCATTCACAATACATAGAATTGGGACCCAGCTTTTACAGTTTATGTGTCTGCTACTTTCATTTTTTTTTTTTTTAAAGATTTTATTTATTTATTTGAGAGAGAGAATGAGAGAGAGCACATGAGAGGGGGGAGGTCAGAGGGAGAAGCAGACTCCCCGCCGAGCAGGGAGCCTGATGCGGGACTCTATCCTGGGACTCCAGGATCATGACCTGAGCCGAAGGCAGTCGCTTAACCGACTGAGCCACACAGGCGCCCTCATTTTTTTTTTTAATATCGTAATTAGGGTCATTTTTTTGCTAGTGTGTCATTTTGTGAGTTCTAACGTATTTTCAACAGGAACCCACGTTTTCAGTGGTTGCTATTGTAGTCTTCATTTTAAGATTTTTTGTGACTCTTAGTCTTGGGTATTGTGTACTTTTTGTGACTGGAGCAGAGCAGGCGTGGGTCACGTCAGCTGCAGGTGTGCGGCACATGGTTGGACAAGTCCGCAGGTGTGCTGGGCTCGCCCGCTTCTCGCGCCACGTGGCCCTCCTGCAGGATCCCTGCCACACCCCCACTCCTCTGCACCCGCTCTGCCCCTCCCCACCCGTGTTTATGGGTCTGAGTCTTTGCTGTTGCGTACTTCTGACGCCGCGTTTCCAACAGTTGGAAACCTGTGTTCTTTCATAGGGTGGCATCATGAGACTGGCCCGGGGTTGTGGCTGGGATCAGGCCCCTGTGGCATCAGGTGGGAATTGCTCCAAATTGGAGGGAGGGTCTTCTGAGGCCATTTCAGCCAGTTTGGGTGGAAGCCAGCTTCAGGCCCTGAGCCAGGCACACCTGGTGAGACGGGTGAGCAGGAGCCAGTCCCGTCCTCAAAACACCAGGGACGTCTGGGCGCCTTGAGGTGGGTGATCATAGAGTCCGTCATTGAACCCAGAACGTGTGTGAGAGGTGACAGGGGGCACTGTTGATGATCACTCAGGGCCCCCAGGAAGTCGGCCCACCAGCTGGTTGTTGGGGTGACGGCCCCTGGGTGGCTGGGGGCCTTTGAGGCTGACTTAACTGTACCCTGACCCCGAAGGTGGGGCTCTCTCACGGGGCCCTGGTCTTGTCCGCAGCCTCCCTCTCTACACAGGGTGTCGACGTGGAGCACACGGCTGAGCTGCAAGGGGTCCAGTATGCCCGCAGCTTGCAGCAAGAGACCTCAGAGTACTACCGCACGCTGACGCCCACTCTGGAAAGGCTGGTGAGGGCAGCCAGGGGCTGTGTCCGGGCGAGCAGAGCAGGGGGGACGCCCAGGCAGGCACTGAGGCAGGGAAGAGGGCACGTGGGGCCAAGAGGACGAGGCTGCTGTGGCCGGTGCTGGTGGGCTCTGGAATGCAGGGCAGGGCGGCATCGGTGGGGACTGACCCCTGCTGGGCTCGTAGGAACGTCAAAAGGTTATAAGTTTAGTCCATTGGCGAGATCAGAACCCGCACACAGGGCTGGTGGGAACCTGAAAGAGGGCAGCCGCTGTGGAAGCAGGCAGGCAGTCGGTCAGGTCAAGCGGTTTCCATAGGGTCCAGCAATTGTGTGTGTAGGTGTCCACCCAAGAGAAATGAAAGTTCACGTCCACACGGAAAGCCCTCACACCCATGTCCACAGCAGCAGGACTCATAAGAGCCAAAAAGTGGAAACACCCAAATGCCCATCGATGGGTGAATGGATAAACGCAAGGAGGTCCACCCACGCACAGGAGCGTCCCTCGGCCGCGGGCGGGAGCGAGGTGTCCACACGTGCGGCCCCGGGATGGACCCCGAGCCCACGACGCTCAGGGAGGGAACCAGACACGGAAGGCCACGCGGGGTGTGAGTCCACGTGGGTGACACGTCCGGAACAGGCTCATCCGCGGACGGGAAGGGCGCTCCTGGGGCCGGGGCTGGGGAGTGACAGCTGATGGGGACGGGGTTTCTTTTGGGCTGATGGAATGTTCGAAAACTGGTTGCGGTGATGGTGCAAAACTCTGTGAATGCACTAAAACCCATCTGGTTGTACACTCTTAAAAGGTAAGTTGTAGGGCGCCTGGGTGGCTCAGTCAGTTAAGCGACTGCCTTCGGCTCAGGTCATGATCCTGGAGTCCCGGGATCGAGTCCCGCATCGGGCTCCCTGCTCGGCAGGGAGTCTGCTTCTCCCTCTGACCTTCCTCCCTCTCCTGCTCTCTCTCTCAAATAAATAAATAAAATCTTTAAAAAAAAAAAAAAAAGGTAAGTTGTAAGTTAGGTGAATTATATCTCAACTTAATATATTCTAAATTTCATTCTCAGAGAAGCAGGAGGGTCACTAGGTGAGAAGTCACAGTTTGAAAGGAGCACTCTGCCTGTGGCCAGGAGGCTGTATGGTAAGACATGAGAAAAGCAGGGCGACATTGCTGAGTCATCACCGTCCACACCGGGGTCAGCACACTTTTCCTCTAAGGCCAGACAGGCAAGATCTTTGGCATCTCAGGCCAGACACTCACCGGCCCAACTACTCAGCTTGGCCTGAGGCATCTTGAGAGGTGCCACAGGGGACAGGTGAATGAGCGGGTGTGGCTCTGTGCCAATAAAACTTTATTTGTGGGGACGCCTGGGTGGCTCAGTTGTTAAGCGTCTGCCTTCAGCTCAGGTCATGATCCTGGGGTCCTGGGATCAAGCCCTGCATCGGGCTCCCTGCTCAGCGGGGAGCTTGCTTCTTCCTCTCCCACTCCCCCTGCTTGTGTTCCCTCTCTCACTGTGTCTCTCTCAAATAAACAAAATCTTAAAAAAAAAAAGAAAAACTTAAATTTGTGGACACTGAAATAACACATTTCAAATAATCTCTATGTGACATGAAATACTATTTTTCTTTTTATTTTCTCCAACCATTTAAAAATGGAAACGCCATTCTTAGTTTCTGAACTATACAAACACAGGCAATGACTTGAATTTGGCCTGTGGGTGTTAGCTTCCTGATCTCAGCCCCACACCCTCAAGCATTGTCCAAAAGAAATAAAACAAGCCCCATGCATAATTTAAAATTTTCTAGCAGCTACATTAAGGAAAAAACAGGGTGGCTCAGTTGTTAAGCGTCTGCCTTGGGCTCGGGTCATAATCCCAGGATCCTGGGATGGAGCCCCACATCAGGCTCCATGCTCGGCAGGAAGCCTGCTCCTCCCTCTCCCACTCCCCCTGCTTGTGTTCCCTCTCTCGCTGTCTTTCTCTCTGTCAAATGAATAAAATTAAAATAAATAAATTCTTAAAAAAAAGAAAACAGGTAAATTTAATTTTAATAATACATTTAACCCAGAACATCGAGAGTATTACCATTTCGTGTCATTGACATAAAGTAGGTATTGAGGAGATGTTTCGTATTCTTTTTTTTCTTTTTTGCATTGAGTCTTCAAAACCCAGTGTGCATTTTGCACTCACATCTCAATATGGATGCTAAGTTTTTATCAGGAATACCTGATTGATACGTAGATTCCATAACATTTACATATGTAAGTTGCTCCAAATATACTTAAGAATTTTCTGGCAACTGGAGTATCTGTTTGAGAATTTAAGCATGAACTAACTAAAATGTAGAAACCAGTTCCTTCATAATACCAGCCATGTTTCAGAAGCTCAGTAGCCGTGTGTGACCGGTGGCTGGCACGTGGGGCAGGCAGGTGGAGAATACTTGCTGAAATTTGTGGACTGTTCTGTGGGCCAGCAGGTCTGAATGCGGGCAATAGGGACATGGACTTGGAGAGTAGAAATAAGAAAAACAGGTTGGAGGGAATTTTAGGAGGGAGAACTGTGTATTGTGAGCTTAAGAAGCAGGCCTGGTGACAGAACACTGACCATGAGCAGGGACACCGTTAGTAACTCCACTGGAAGAGCAGGTAAATTGGGGCATCTTGTCACCCTAGGTATAGGTCACATGAGGTGCCAAGGGGACTCTCAGGAACCCCCAGCCTTGGCGCTGCACCTGGAACAACACCCATCCCAGTTCCCAGGACAGGAACCCTTCAGTGCTAAACCTGAGACAGTCCTAGGAGAAGTGGACAGTAGTCACCTGAACGCCACACGGAGTTGATAAGCAAGTTCTAGTAGCATCTGTTTGCGCAAAGCAGGATTTTCTTAATGTAAAATTCATGTAAAATAACCATTTTTTAAAAAGTTTTATTAAGTGATCTCTTCGCCCGATGTGGGGCTCGAACTCACAACCCCAAAATCAAGAGTCAAATGCTCGGGGTGCCTGGGTGGCTCAGTCGTTAAGTGTCTGCCTTCAGCTCAGGTCATGATCTCGGGGTCCTGGGATCGAGTGCCGCATCGGGCTCCCTGCTCCGCGGGAAGCCTGCTTCTCCCTCTGCCACTCCTGCTTGTGCTTGCTTGCTCTCTCTGTCAAATAAATCTTTTAAAAAGTCAGATGCTCTACCGACTGAGCCAGCTAGGAGCCCCAAAATTAACCATTTTTAAAGTGAACAATTCTGGCATTTTGTGTATTCACAAAATTATGCAACCATCACCTCTGTCTAGTTCCAGAACATTCCATCACTCCCAAAGCAACCCCATCCCCATTAGCCATCACTCCCCAGCCCCCGGCCCCCACGAGCCCCCTTCCCGTCCGCGGATGAGCCTGTTCGGGACGTGTCACCCACGTGGACTCACACCCCGTGTGGCCTTCTGTGTCTGGTTCCCTCCCTGAGCGTCGTGGGCTCGGGGTCCATCCCCGGGGCCGCGCGTGTGGGCACCTTGTTCCTGTTCATGTGGATGGACCACATTTTATCCATCCATCTGCTGATAGGGCAATATTTTCATCCAAGTAACTTCCAAGTGCCCTTTCCCTGTCATTTACACAGCTCTGTGACTCTGTGTGTACTGGGTGTGAGAAGAGGCATTTTCCGTGCCTCCAGCTCTGCGTGCACGCGGCAGGTCCCCGCGGGGCGGGCGCCTACTCCGTGGCCTCCACGTGTACCGCTGTTGTTTCTGTTGCAGTTTGTGAGCAGCTTCCAGAAGACAGAGTTGGAGGCCAGCTGTGTGGGCTGTACCGTACTAGGTTACAGGTGAGTCAGGGACTCCTCCGGGTGAAGCAAGCCTGGTGGACACCCAAGAGATTCCAGAAGGTTCCAGCAGGAGCCCTCCGTCTCCAAGGGCTTCTCTCCTACCTGCAGGGATGGGAATTCCAGTGTCTTCGTGCATTTCCGGCTACACTTCTTGCTGCAAGCCCTGCAGTCACTGAGCCTGGGCCTGGAGGAGGAGCTGTTGCAGCAGGGACTCAGAGCAAGGCTGCAGGGGCATGGTATCCCCCTGGCTGCCCACGGCACCATCGTGTCCGCTGAGCTCACAGGCAAGTAGGCAACAGACACTGGAGGAATTAGGAGGCGGCTGTGGGAGAGGAGACCGTTGAAAGTTGCAGTAAACTTTAGGTTTCCCACAGTTGTTCCCTCTGATGAAAAGTAAACTAACTCGTGCACAATACTTTTCCCTCAGGGGTACGGAGCAGGTAAGAGCAACCTGCAGATGGCCAGAGTGTAAATGCTTTTGTCTTTGCAGCCCATTGGATCTCTGTCGAGACTACTCAACTCTACTGTTGTAACAGGAGGGTTAAAGACAGAACATAAACAAATGGGCACAGTTGTGTATTGATAAAACTTTATTTATAGAATCAAATGGTGGGCTGCATGTGGCCCACAGCCAGTTTGCCAACCTTGGTATAGGAATAAGGGTAAATGCTGTGCCCTAAAATCTGATGATGCAGATTCCCTATCATGTACCAGAAACTTCACATAAAACCTGATGATGCGGTGCATTGTGATGAGAGCCAGACGTGAGTTCAGTGTGTCATCAAGTTAAAAACTGATGGCCTTGACCCTGCCCTGCAGGACATTTATGGTCCTTCCCCACCTACCCTGACATGTTAGTGGACTCTTAGTAACCTCTATATCAGTGCTAATTGAATTCTCCGTTTCCTGCCTGCACAGCCCACTGGGGTGACTACCAGCCCCATGAGGCTCTGGAGCGCACGTCACACAGCCAGTGACCAAGCAAGAGATTGTTTCATCTGATTTCATCTTAAATTGATTTAAGTTAGAATGTAAGGGGCTCCCACGGTGCACAGTGCAGCTCTTGGCTTTGCAATCCGATGTTTTCAAAGAATTGCGGAACTCGCGGAGTGAGCTTCTATCTCTTGTCTGTTTCACTGCAGGAAGTCAGAAAGGGCCACTGACGGAAAGAGACTTAAAATCAGCAGGTATGTCCTACCCTCTCCCATGGAGCTCCCTGCCCTCTGCCGAGTTTCTCCGATTGCAGTCATGTGGAGAGGTTTCCCAAGACTTCTTTCCAGTACACAAAGGAGTCCCTCAAATGCAGTAAATACTACTTTTGCACAGCAGTCTCCTCCAGGGGGCCGGGAGGGGATAGAGTCATAGTCCTGTGTGGGCAGAGGACTTAAAGACGAGACACTTTGAATTACACATGACCAAACACGAGTGAGGGAAAACAGTAACAATTTTTTTTGAAAAGTGGTGGAAATCTGGGCGCCTGGGTGGCTCAGTCGTTAAGCGTCTGCCTTCGGCTCAGGTCATGATCCTGGGGTCCTGGGATCGAGTCCCACATCGGGCTCCCTGCTCGG